TGTTCTATGAATTATCCTTATTCAAAATGCAGGTGGTAAAACCATCGTGGAAAATACCAGTAACGGATTGTGTCGCGATTTAAAAAAATTGCAAGATTATAGTGTGAAAAGCGAAATTAATATAATTGCAGGAACAGGTATGTGCTTATATAATATATACGCTATATCATACGGTGTGTGTATTTACATTATACACATTTAGAATCGAGCTTTTACTTTATTTTATATTTAATATTTATGTTATAATGAATATTTTATTAACCAATAAAATATTTTAATTTTTACAAAATAAATTATAAATAAATTATTTAATATAATTATAACCACACTATTTATATAATTATAACGTTAATAATATGATACATTAATAATAAAAAATAATAACGTTAAATAAATGTTAAGTAAATTTGTTTTCACAAGAATTAAAGTAATTTTATTTTATAACTTGACAGGATATTATACTGCTAGCGTGCAGAATGACTCAAACCTTAATTTTACGCACGAAGAAATATACAATAAATTATTAAATGATCTAACTAACGAGATAGAAGGATCCTATCAAATTGGCGATTCTAACAATAAGATAAAAGCAGGATTTATCGGAGAAGTCGGCAGCAGTTGGCCAATCCACGGTACATAATTACATACCAATTTGCTAAATTGTTAAATATATTTTACTATTATTTTCGATATTGCAGTAAATAAGCAGCTAATAAAACAGTGCAAGCAAAATCGGAATAAATAACACTGCAAGTTTATTAATTTTTGTATACTTTTTAATGCTTTTCTACCATTTTAATGTAATAAAATATTTATATGTTAATGAAAAGAGACAGAATAAACAATATGTAACCAATTGCAATTGAAACAATAAATGTTTCAATTTATAAGAGCACAATTGTGATGCAAAATATCGTAAATATTAATCAATTTATAAGAAATCAAATAGAAGTTATATTTTCTACAATATTTTTAAAAATTTCTTGTTGTGTTTTACGCCAAATAAACCACACTGAGGATTTACACTTTTTGACTTGTGATATATTTAATATTTAACATACATGTGAATGTAAACTTGCTTTTATGTCACACGTGTCCGTATTCTATTCTGTCTCTCTCTTGTGTGTCTATCGATATCTCGAACTCGTAACTCGCGCTACGTCTCCGTACAATAGTTATTAGACACTACATTTCTGTTTTATATAATTACGTCTAGAAGTATGTTCTAATAATGATAAATTCAGAAATAAAATTGTTTAAATAATATTTGTTTTTTACGTTAAATAAAACATTTAGCAGTTATATTATATTATTTTTAATTTACTGTTAGAGTTTGAAAAACGTTCTATTCGTGCCACTGGCGAGATTCAAGCGCAACTGCATTGTCCTGTGAATTTGAATCCCGGCATTGAAGAAGATGCACTTAGGGAAGTAATTAGGCTCTATCGAGAGGCCGGTGGTGATTCTAAAAAAGCGGCCATATCCAATATTGATCGTAAGTGCTATGCATTTTCTTACTTTCAACTAAGTTGTGTATTGAAAATGTCATATCTTAATGATATAAATTTAATAGGCACGTTGTGGTACGAGGACAAATTTATGGAATTCATGGACGACACTAAACACACTTACGTACAATATGATCTGTTTGGTACTGAGCATTCTTTCTGTCGAATGAGAAATAAGTTTTACAAGATATTATCAGACGCACAACGTATCAAACGTTTCGCAAAACTGAAGGATGAAGGAAACTTGGATCGAATTCTCATAAGTCATGATATTCACACTAAGGATAGATTGGTACGTACATTTCCTTTTTTTTAATAATTTTACAAAATAAATTTAATTTATTGTTATTATTTTTATTTTTTAATGCGTTATTTATTTTATTTATTACTCTATTTTTAATTTAGGCAGGTAAATAAAAAGTAATTTATATGTAAACTATAATTGGATTTTAAACGATAATATTTCAGTTATAAGTAATCTGAGCAATTAACTCTCAAAAATATTCTACTGATGTTTAAGGTCACTTATGGCGGTCTCGGATACGCTCATATTTTGAAAAACTTTGTGCCACATATGTCAAGATGGAATTTTACAGTTAACGATACAACGATATTAACCACTGAAAATCCTAAGAGATGGCTAAGCTGGAAACAATAATTTGCACACAAGAAAATTTGCATATTATTTTTCTTATGTAAAGCACGATGTATAAAACAATATAATAAATATTTCAAGCATTATTATTGTTCATTTTACTTCTATTTTGTTTATTGCATTTATTTGCAACATAAAAATTTTGCAAAAACATTAAAATCATTCTTAGAAAGATTTACTCAGATAAAAAGACTCGGTCGAACGTTAATATTTGTCGCCACTCAAATAAATGTCAATATTTATTTTTAACGTCAATATGAACTATGTGTACACGTTACAAACTTCACAAGAAGTATCGTCAGTTAGAAAATGTTGTAGTATGATGCCACAGCAGTTTGAATTTACGGCTTCTCGGCATCAGATATATTTTACATTTCCGTGCTATTTGTAATAAATGTAACATATTTATCACATATTTATCTTACTAAATTTTAAAACATATATTTAGTTGCATTATTATAATTCAACACGTACTATATAAAATATAAATTAAATTATTGAAAAAGCTTTGTCTCTAAGTAGTGTGAAAATGATGGAAATTGTGGAAGATGATAAATTTGTGGAAACAGGTAAATCTGAAGACAATTAAAACATAAAAAAAGTATATAACAAATAATACGTTTAATTCATACATTTTATACAAGTTTTGTTACATATAAAGGTTCATGTTCATACAAGGAACTGATACACGACGTACAAAAATTATATTTCTATTTAAAAAAAAGTCTTAAAATTTTGTTTTATTTATCTGACGAGACAGCTTCGAAATTGTAATAAATAACTTGCAATTCATAAATAGATCACGATTCATAGATATAAGTACGCAGTTTATGATAGTCTTTATTAAATTTCAAATTTGTTCAACTCAATCGAAAACTATATTCTTATTCAATACTGATTTTTCTAACTGCACTGAAAAAACAAATAGTTACAGTAGTCATTTGTCTCGTTTTGACACCAATTATATTTTTATAAAAATCTTTCAACTATGCAAATTATAGTTAATTCAACACTGGTATTGTCATAAGTATTTCACTACAATTATTTTACTATGTAATTACAGTTTCAAATATCACAAAGTAGTCTTTCGAGAATTTTGCTATATACATTTTTTACATTGTTTACATTATTTTGTGTAGTAAGAGGACCTGTACTGCTGGATCAACTCGGTATTACATTAACGCACGAGCATCTTTTTAGCGATTTTACCAATTGTTTTAAGCGAGCTCCGTATTCGCATGAGCTTTCGAGAGATCATACAATAATTACATTGAAAGGTAGCGGCTATCTTAATCTATATCCGTAAGTCAATCTAACTATCTCTGATATCTCTGAAAAATATTTCTTTACATGTTTATTCTCCAAACATGCGCTGAACAATCAAACAGCTCAATTATTAAAATATATTATATGAAATATTAATATTAATATTTAATACGTACAATATTTTGATTCAGGTATAGCAATATGAATAATTTGAAACTTATTTATGAGAAAGAAAGAGTTTTTCCAACTGAATTATTGGAGTTTATGGCACTTGATGGGAAAACAATTGTGGAAAATAGCAATCATGGTTTGAGATGTTTTAACAAATGGCACGAATACAGAAATGTGTCCTTAGAAGAGGAAATTAACATAATTATTGGAACAGGTAGGGTTGTACGAATGTTATTACTAACTAAGTAATTGTTAAGTACTTTAAGTTTTTTGCGAGTTAAGTACTTTAAATACAAATTTAATTTAATTAAACTTAATTTTGAAAATTTTGACATTAAATTCGTTTTGATTTGCAATGCCTCAATTGTGTTTTCTGAGTATTATCGTAATTGACAAATTTTCTTTAAGGAATTATTATTATTGTTACTTTATTACACTTTCTTAATTTCAACAGGATATTATGTTGCTCAGACGCAAGTTGGATCAACCTTAAATATGTCCAAAAGAAAGTATGTATAATGTTATGTGTACGGAATTAGAAGAAGGTATTGTATATCGTGAACATTATCTAAGTTCCAAAATAAAAGCAGGATTTATCGGCGAAGTGGGCAGTTCTTGGCCAATTCATGGTACATTGCTTGCATATTTCAATCTGTTAAACTGTGGATAATCCATACAAGCAGTTAATCGTTTTATAAGATAATTAATATAATTTTTTATGATAATACAATTAAAACAAGATAAGGTATTCTTTCGCACTTTCAACATTAAATTAAAATACATGTATATTTTATTTGATTAAAAAAAAAAGAAAGAAGATACATTACAATAAGGGTGCATATTGAAACAAAATTTATAATTTTAAAAGTATTTTAATTATTAATAAATTAAATACTATCTACTAACTAATTATAAACTTAATCAAAGTTATTTCTTAAAATACATTTTTTATTTTTATTTATTGTTGCTCACAAAATTATATTCAAATAATAATGCGTTATAATGAAATAAATTCTCTTAATTATAATTCTTAACCCAAGATGGTATGTTGAAGAGTATTTATATTATATTCGTAAACTTGTAGCCTTTGAAAAAACGTTCTATTTCTACAACTGGCGAAGTGCAAGAAAAATTGCATTGTCCTGTTAGTTTTAGTCCTGGATCGAATGCCTCTGCACCTATGGAGATAATGCGAATCTATCAAGAGGCCGGAGGGAACGCTCGCAAAGCCATTATGTGTCACGTTGATCGTAAGAGACCTACAAATTTTTTTTTATCAATATAGTTAATAATGCTTGCAACATATATTTGTCAAATAAGATCAAAATCGAAAGATATTGAAATAATTTATCCTAATTAAGATAGCCATTATTGCCGTTAGTTTTAATATATGTACTTTTTCTGATCTCAAAAAATGTTTGGTGTAACTTTTGAAACATTTCAGACATTACCTAAATTATTTAATATAAGTTACAATACGAGTTTAAGTAAAGTTTAATTGATAAATAAGTTTAGTTAAGAAACGAGTTGTTTGCGCCTTAAATTTTCGTACATCCTAATTTTTTTTACGTTAAAGACACGCGTTACAAATACACATTTCTTAAAATAAAATTTTAAATTAAAATAATATTGTAATGTATTTTACATGCAATTTTATAATATATTTTTTGAACACTGTAATTTTTATTTGTCTATACACTATTATTGCAACAAACTAATAAAATTATCTTATTAGGTACTTTGACCAACGAGGAACAACTCATGGAATTCGCAGATGATAACAAATGTTACATACAATTCTCTATGTTTGGTACCGAGTGTTCTTTCTATCATCACGATCCGACTGCTGTTATACTGTCAGATGCAGAGCGTGTCAAATTTATTGCAAAATTCAAAAAAGAATCGAAATTGGATCAGGTTTTAATGAGTCACGATATTCATACCAATAACAGACTGGTACGTCTTTCAACCTGATAACTTTTTAATTCTTTTATTTGATGTTACATCATAAATTTAATTTGCCATCTTAGTTTTTGAACAGTATTGTTTAATTTTGCTTTTATTTAATTATTCATATAAAACAAAAAGTTCACACAACGTTGTTTACACAACGTTATATGAACGTTTGCTCAACGTTGAAACATGTTGTATAATTTCCATATAACATTTTAATGTTCGGATTATACATAAAATACATAAAACAATGACTTTTTAACATTACTTTTTATGAACATTTGGACGTTGCCTGAACGTTGCAGGAACATTAAATTCTTAAAAGTACGGGTGATATCTTGTTGGTATACACGTATTTTTAATTTACATCAATATTATACACCAGTAAATACGTAGAACATAAACTATTTAATCGTTAAAGCAAAATTTATTAATATATTTGTAAAGTTAAAGTAATTATATAAATAAACAAATTAAATTTACTTTATACATTTTTGAGGTAAAGTATGGCGGTCATGGATATGGTCATATCCTTCAATTTGTATTACCGTATTTGGAAGATAATGGTTTCACCGATCAGGATATCACACAACTAATGGAGAAAAATCCTAAAAATTGGCTAAGCCGTGGTCAATAATCGATTTATATCAAAAATTTATTTTTTTTCTTACAAAACATAAAAACATGAATGAAAAATGCACAACAACTTTCTATATGCGATATTGTTTTTTTTTAAAAATTGTAAACAGTTTATGCAGTAGCTATTGAGTGCTATAACTATATTCGTTTATAATATGTAACAATTTTAAAATAATGTGATTTTCTTTCAAATAAGTACTCGGCATTCAATTCTCGTCTAAATTGCGCACGTGGATATAAAAATCGAATTTTGCATTGGGATCATAAGTACCATACATGTACACAAAAATGTTAACGACGTTGCTCAGTCTGCAGAATACTACAGATACGCCGTGG